CAGGGAAATGGATGGCATTAGAGCAGATTATGCTAAGTGAAGCTAGCCAATCCCTAAAAAACAAATGCCAAATGTCTTCTTTGATATAAAGAGAGTAACAAAGAACAGAGTAGGGAAGAAGAGCATGAGAAGAAGATTAACATTAAACAGGATGAGAGGTGGGAGGGAAAGGGAGAGAGAAGGGAAATTGCATGGAAATGGAAGGAGACCCTCAGGGTTATACAAAATTACATACAAGAGGAAGTGAGGGGAAAGGGAAAAACAAGGGGGAGAAATGAATTACAGTAGATGGGGTAGAGAGAGAACAGGGGAGCGGAGGGGAGGGGAGGGGGGATAGTAGAGGATAGGATAGGCAGCAGAATACAACAGACACTAGTATAGCAATATATAAATCAGTGGATGTGTAACCGATGTGATTCTGCAATCTGTATATGGGGTAAAAATGGGAGTTCATAACCCACTTGAATCAAAATGTGCAATATGATATATCAAGAACTGTGTAATGTTTTGAACAACCAACAATAAAAATTATAAAAAAAAAGAATTAGAGGTGTTTTTATTTAAATTTATTAACAAAGGAATATAGTTACTGGACCTTTAAAGGTGACTTTGGGTAAAAGGCCTAAATTGGGATAGTACCTTTTATTTTATAAAGACAGTAAAACATAGTAACTGTTACCTATTTTAACCCAGCAACTTTTGTACAATCCATTTCATTAAGTGATTGTCATTATTTTTTTCTGTTTTAATAATTTTTATTTGTCTGAAAAGAGCCTTTACTTATCTCCATCCTTCAAAAATTTTAAATTAATTAATTTATTTTAATTAGGTATATATGACAGCAGAATGCATATTGATTCATTGTACACAATTGCAGCACAATTTTACATTTCTATGGTTGCACACTATGTAGCATTACACCTTATGAACAGTCATACATATACTTAGGTAATGATTTCCATCTCATTCCACCATCTTTCCTGCACCCTCTCTCCCCCTCCTCCCCTTTGCCCAAAGTTTATCCATTTTTCACATGCCTCCCCCTTCCCTGTTATGGATCAGCATCCACTTATCAGAGAGAACATTCAGCCTTTGATTTTTTGGGATTGACTTACTTTGCTTAGCATGATATTCTCCAACTCATCCATTTACCTGCAAATACGTTATTTTTATTCTCTTTTAATGCGGAGTAATAATCTATTGAGTATATATATTACAGTTTCTGTATCCATTTATCTATTGAAGGGCAAGTAGGTTGCTTCCAAGTTTAGCTATTGTGAATTGAGCTGCTATAAACATAAATGTGGCTGTGTTACTATAGTATGCTGATTTTAAGTGTTTTGGGTATAGACCGATGAGTGGGATAGCTGGGTCAAATGATGGTTCCATTCCAAGTTTTCTAAGTAATCTCCATACTGCTTTCCAGATTGGTTGCACCAATTTGCAGTTCCACCAGCAATGTATGAGTGTGCCTCCCCCCTACATTCTTGCCAACATTTATTATTGTCTGTATTCTTGATAACTGCCATTCTGACTGGTCATGAAATTCATTTGGAAAAATAAGAGACCCTGAATAGCCAAAGCAATCTTTACCAAGAGGAGTGAAGCAGGAGGCATCACAATACCAGACTTTAAACTATAGTAACAAAAATGGCATTGTATTGGTACCAAAATAGACATATAGACCAATGGTACAGAATAGAAGACACAGAGACAAACCCACATAAATACAGTTATCTCATATTAGACAAAGGCACCAAAAACATACAGTGGAGAAAAGATAGTCTCTTCAACAAATAATGTTGGGGGACCTAGAAATCCATATGCAGTAAGATGAGAATAAATACCTGTCTCTCACCATGCACAAAACTCAACTCAAAGTGGATCAAGGATCTAGGAATTAGTCCAGAGAAACTGCACCTAATAGAGGAAAAAGTGGGCCCCAATATTCATCATGTTGGATTAAGCCCCGACTTCCTTAACAAGACTCCTAAGGTGCAAGAAATAAAATCAAGAATAAATAAATGGTATGGACTCAAACTAAAAAGCTTCTTCTCA